GGTGGGGGTGGGGGTGGGGTTGGGGAGGAAGTGGATGGTGTGGTTGATGAAGTGGAGGGAGAGGAAGTGGATGGTGTGGTGGATGAAGTGGAGGGAGAGGGCTGTGGAGATGAAAGCGGCGGTTGGGATGAGGTTGGTGGGGTAAAGGGAGGTGTGGAAGGGCTATCAGTAGTGGTAAAGGGTGGCTGAAGAGGTGCAGGTCGGCGGGTGTAAACCTGACCAAACCGGGCTGGAGTAGCCGGTGGTGGTGGAACCGAGGGAGAGCCACCAGAGACAACAGGATTCGTTGGTGGAGGAGGAAACCGGAGAGAAGGATGAAGGACGGTCTCGGTGTTCTCGTGAAGGAAGTCATAAGTAGGTAGCGGAGTGTGGGATTTAAACGGGAAAACAGTCTCGGCAAAAAGAACGTGCCGAGAAATGACAATTTTCATAGACGAAAGATCGAGGCATTTGTAGCCGCGGTGATTGGCCGGATAGCCAAGAAAGACACATGGTTTGGAACGGTTTTGGAGCTTATGAATGGAGGTGGATGGGAGGAGCGGATAACAGAGGCACCCGAAGGTGCGGAGATGAGAATAAGACGGTGTGGTACGGTAAAGAAGGTAGGTGGGAGTATGGTTGGCTTTGGTTTTGGAAGGGAGAATATTGAGGAGGTATGTGGCCATTTCTAAAGCATGGTGCCAAAAAGAAGGAGGTAACGCCGCAKGAGTAAGGAGGGTGCGAATGATGTTATTAATGGAGCGAAGCTTCCTCTCGGCTTTACCGTTTTGGGAGGAGGTGTACGGACACGAGAAACGAAATTGCATCCCKTTGGATTTGCAAAAGAGATGAAACTGACGGTTGTTATATTCGGTGCCATTATCGCATTGAAAGGTTTTGATTTGCCTCTCAAACTGAGTGTTGATTAAGATAGAAAATTGGTGAAAAACCGAATAAACTTCGGATTTATATTGTAATGGAAATGTCCACAAAAAATTGGTGAAATCATCCAAAAATAAGATGTAATAACGATGACCCCCCGTACTCGGGATGGGAGAGGTCCACAAGTCACTGTGAATTATATCAAACGGTAAGCTAGTGTAAGAAGATGAAGCATAAAATGGTAATTTCACTTGTTTACCAAAAACACATGATTGACATAACTGTGGTTTATTAAAACCAGAAACCGAAACAGACTTAGTTGTATTCAAAACACGAAGTAAATCAGAACCCGGGTGACCTAAACGATGGTGCCACAAGTCTTGAGAGAGAGCAGCAAAGGTGGAGGGAAAAGCAGCCTGAACAAAAGGAACTGACAGCGGATAGAGGTCCCCGGAGCTGTCACATCTGAGAATAGGGCGCTTGGTCTTGACAGCGGATAGGGTGGTATGGCCAACACCGGTGGTGTGCATTTTGGAACCATTACCGACAAGAATAGATTTTGTGCCATTATTAACATAAGACTTTAAGATACCTGCCGAGTGAGCCATGTGATGTGTTGCGCCGGTGTCCAAGTACCAATTCTGATCGGGATTCAATGTCATAGTGTGGAGGGCTGGCTCAATGTTGGTAGGAGTATACGCTGCATAATTTGCTGATGGACTTGGTCCAAGAATACCCGGATTTTGACCTGGAGGGCGCAACGTGGGCATAGTCGGATATGGACACGGTGGAGCCGCCCATGGAGGATGAGAGTAGCCCCATGGCTGGTAAGGCCAGGGCTGCTGTGGAGGGTACCCGGGACCAGTAGAGTTATTGCCCGGGCCATAAAAATTGTTGCGTCCGCGACCCCTACCCCGACCGCGGTGACGTCCTCCCCGACCGCGTCCTCGGTACGAAGCAGCACCTCGCTGAGTGAACCTGTTGGAGACATCAGCAGGCTGCTCCGGGTCTGCAGCGGTGGGCTGAACCACAGCAGCGTGGACAGTAGCAGTAGGCTGTTGTTGTGCTTTGCGGGACTCTTCCATGAGTAAGGCGGTACGGGCAGCCGTAAAAGAGGGTAGAACGTCCTTCTGTTGAAGGGTAGTAGCGAGGTTATCAAATTCACTGGATAGCCCGGAAATCAATTGAAGAACCAAGGATTGATCTGTGATAGGAGCATCAACATTAGATAGCTGATCAGAAAGCAATTTCAATTCTCTACAATAAGCGGTAGCATCCGGAAACGCCGCTAGTTTCGTGTTAGAGAATTTTTGTTGAAGGTAGATGGCCCTAGTAGGTTTGTTATCAACGAAAATGCCTTGCAGAGCTTGCCACGCTTTATGAGCGGTATTATCGGGATGGAGAATAGTGGTCAACAGATCAGTTGTGATGGTACTGTAAATCCATTGTAAAACAATGGCATCGAGACAGAGCCATTCTTCATCATGTTCCGAAGGGGCTGCATTGGGCGGGATTATGTGATCGAGCACCTTACAAACGGTGCATTGAACTTTAAATAGGGCAACCCAATTGTTGTAATTTCCTTCTTCGGTACCTAGAACGAGGGGAATGTGATTTTTGATGTTGGTAATGGTGGTGGCAGGATGGATTCGATAGGTGGGAGGGGGCTTGCTGTCGCCTGTCATGGAGAGGGGCTGGAAGAATGGGAAATCCGGTGAAAGTGAGCGGAAGAGTGGTCGCCGATCAGAAGGGTGGTCGCCGGTCAGAAGAGTGGTCGCCGAAATTCAGAAGGATCAAAAATCAGAAGGCCGATCARTAGAGGAAGGGGAGGCGATCAGCTCTGATACCATAATAGAGTTTAACTAAATGCCCGTCTTTCCCCCTCTCTTGTATTGCAATATATAAACATGGATGTTACAAAATAGTCCCTTGGACTATACAAAGAATACCTTCTAGTCTAATAATATTGACCTACAAAATCGTATTGGACGAGCATAAGAGAGAGCAGTTGATGCCTATGTGTAGCTGTTTCACACTAGAAGAAGTTGTAACATGCATCTTGTACTTCTGAGCTTTGTGCATGCATATTTGGCTGGCTAGAAGTTGTTACTACGCAAACCAACCAAGATAACACACACACACACATATATATGTACGTATGTATGTATTAACTTTGATGCATCATTTTGTTTCTAATCACAATTCACAAATACTTGATGCATTTATTGACATGAAAGGGTTAGATTTCAGTGCAAACCTTGTGACGCTCTGAAGCAAGCTCAAATCTCATTTGTGTCAGCGTGTCAAACTTAGCTTTAGCAGTATCAACCTTTGCCATTGTATATGCATCATCCTGAAACTCACAAGTACCTACACTAAATATTGTACTCACATTAACCGACAGGTCATCCAAGGATACATACCAGATTTCCACTTGAGACTAGGGTTTTAGCACCATAATTTCCTGTGACATAAATTTCAAATTTGGCATTGTGAGGGAAGGCTCCACACTTTATCGTCTTAACACAATTCAGGTGGTTGTTATTAATTAGCATCAATCACTTGCATGTGCAGGAAAAGAAAGGTCTTCAGCATATATAATCACTTGTGCCAACACAACATATTATAAGAACTATTGACCTACTTTAATCACAGGGCCACTTAATTTATCAAACCCACCAATGGGGTAATTCTGTCTAGCCAGCTTAATCTTTTAAAATGCTTAATTCAGCGATTAGTTGCTAATCTTAATCCCAACATGGCCGATTAAGTGACGAGGTGGGATGGATGTTACACAAAATGACAGCCAGGACATGTCTTCTTTCAAGAACGTTGAAGTAGGCAATGAACTTATACCTGCAGATTCGGCAGCCCTGCTGTCAATTTGTATGTTCACCTGCATCATGCTAATTAAACATTAAAAGGATTGTTTCCATCACTAAATACTTGGTATAATGCAATACGAAACAATGATGAAGATTAGAGAGACTTCAATAACTAAAAAATGTCAGGGGTAATAACTCCTCTTGCTATCAGCACTCTACATCAATAGAAATGTTTGAAGTCTGCTAAAACAAAGAAGTATGGGCACTCTACGATCTACAAACTTACTGTAACCAATTCCTGGCTCAGTTGGAAGTTTGCAACAGAATTGATTCAGTGTGTACTTTTGATACCTCACAGGGGGTGGGGAATTAAAGAAAATATGAGTCACATCTGAACTATGATGGACAAATGAAGCACAAGGCACCTTTTTAAGATGTTGTGCATTAGTCAGTTACTCACTGAAAATCTTCTAAGAAAAAGCAAAGTTTTAGGAGGAGAGACAACTACTGAAACAAAGGGTCAAAGGAAAGCCGGCCCATTTCCTTTAGCTGCTTAACCAAAATAAGAATTAATTTTGATTTTTATGAGAAAATTTTAGAGCATACCAACAAACTTTACTATGAAAACTTGATTGCGCACCAAACAGCAAAGAAAACAATATACTTTACAGCCCTTTCCATTACCCCACTCTGTCCATAAATCTGTGTACATGTTAAGTTTACCTATGTGGTATTATCATTACTTCTTACCATCTCCTTTTTGCTGATGAGGCATCAGCCCATTGTTTCTATTGCCACTTATAAGTTTTTTTCACAAGAACAATACTTCAACAAACTATTACTTCGAACCTGTTTACCCTCAAACTGGAAATTTAACAATACGGTTTTTTATTTTGTTATTTCTGGTTGGCTGTGCAACATTTTGTCTGTCTCAATTTTGTTAATGGCGTACTATTTTGACCGTACTTTAAACAATATTCACTAAATTCAAATGTTAGTTTATTTTTTACTTGAAAATTTTAAGCAATATTAGTGCAAGTAAAAAAAATTATAAAACAACTTCAATACGTTTATCTTTTTGGCAAAAGATGATAAATACTGACATGGATCTCAAAAGAGATCAAAATTGACGCATACAAAATATCTTATATGCTTGAAAAGGAGGCAAGATGCATTCCCAACTGACAGCATACAAACCAAACGGACCCAGTAAATCCCACCTGAAAGTAGGGTCTCGTTCCCAACTGAGAGCATACATTGATATCAATTGCATCTAAACTAACTAAACCAAATGATGCATACTTGGTATTCCAACCTTGTTAGACCTCATTAGGTTATTCTTAACTTAATTATTAGTGTTATTGAGAGATATGGGATCAACAAACCTTGAAATTAAGAGGTGATTGAAGAGTGAAAAACACCCATGTCTTCTTGAAGGGTTCTTGAACCGTCGTAAGTTACTTTGAACAAATCTAACTATGTTCCACGTCTAGAAAGAATTTAAACAATTCTATATATTATTCATACACAAAAAATATTAACTTCCATTCACAAATTCTTTAGAACTATAAAATCTTATACAACATCACTAAGGGACTGTTTGGTTGGTTTTCCAGTAACTTCTGTATGGATAAAGTTGTCTATGTAGATTAACCTGTCTGTATAGATTGTGAAGGTTTTTATTTGGGAGTGTTTTTTCATATATACAAGGAGCGTGTTTTTTAATTGAAAGGGGCATGTTTGGAAAAAACTTGGCATTCTGCATAAAGCCCCCCTATAAGCTTACTGAATAAGCCACTTTCTATATCATTAAGCCACTATCAAACAGCCATGTATAGCTGAACAAATAATTTGTGATTCTCATTAAGCTGCTAACAAACAGACCCTAAATTGACGCATGTTCAATAAAAGGATATTGTTCTTCAATTCTTGGATTTGAGAGGCAAAGGGGTATTGAAGTGAAAGTTTGCTGAATTTTTATTTTTCTAAGAATCTCTGTAGCAAGTTCATTCACAGGTGATTGCCATGCATGTGATTTTAATAGTAACTCTAAGGAGTTTGTGGCCAAATTGGTTTTCACTTTTCAGACTAAGTTTGTTGAGATCGACTTCCATTTTCTTTATTGTTGAGTAATCATGAGAAGGAAAGTTAAAAATGTTGACCAGCCAACTTCTGTATGGCATCATGTATGAGCTTCTACTTCGTGTAATCTAATTACTGATATATTATGCAACCATTAGCCGTCATTACCACTATGCTGAACTTAACTTCTGTGTGCACATAAGTTACATGGATCCAACAAAGAACCTGTCAATCCCTAACTTAAGTAATTCACTGAGACCATTGTTATCCTCAAAAGTCAAAACAAACAACTGAAAGCACTATGACTACTTGAACACATGCAGCTAAAATAATAAATAAATTGAACATGCAAAAAAGATCATAAAACAGGTATAGATCAGATAGTACCAAACCATGCTGTCCAACCATTGAGCTAGGCTTGTACGAAGTCAACCAGTCCTATGCAAATTCAGAAAGGTTATTACTCAACTGTTGCAAAATCTACATAAGGCAAAGAAAGATATCGAACCTGTTGTTCTTTTAGTGAGGTATTGATCTCCTCTTCAGTCTTGCCATAGGATGTACTGTTACATGAAGCAAAAGCAAACTCAGCACCATATGTTGACCATTCTATCTCCATTTTAAATAGATATCTTTCTAATTACCGCTTCTCAACAAGTTTGGTTGACAAGTTGACTCTTTCCTGTTGAATAAGCTCCAATGTCTGTATTTTTTTTGTAGCATCAAATGATAAGAGAGAGATAGTATCATAGTAACTAAGATCTCGTTAATCAGCTAAATGCTTTGGAACTATTTCATGCATCTAATAAGTAATAATAAAATAACTTATGTTCCAATTTAAGTCATTCTTATGTGAGGTGCAGTAATTCAGAAAAAAACATCACATCTGCAATATTTTCACAACTATAAGAGGTGATTTTGCAATCTTGACGTTTAATAAAACAGAGAGAAAGGAATGTTTTTCTTTAGCCTAGAGATAAAGGCAACAAGTAAGACTTTGCTAGAAGTACCCGTTCTCATCACTCTAAACATGATGTGGCTTGCATGGACAACCACAAGTCCACTACTTCTCACCTGTCCCAAGCATGTACAGCCACCATCTATCTATTTATCTATCACAAACATAAGTAGACACCTCTCACTATCTCTAATACTTCGTGCTGGTTGTACAAAGATCATCAAATTGAAACAAGAACCCAACAAAGATCATTGAAATACAGGAAGCGACCAACAGTAAATCACACCCACTTTTATGTTCAGATTAATTCATTAAGGAAAAAAGTTGATAAAGACCTAACGTTTAATGTATTTCACACATATTAAACACTAATGCTTTTCTTAAGAGCAAAGCACAGGACAGCCACCATACCTGGGATGCTTAAACAACCACAGTTTAAAGACCTTGGACTAGAGTGTATAATCGTATATTATTTGGTTACGCAAACAGATGAGATATAATTGGTGCTACGTGCTACATTTAGGATCTTCCGGAAAGAGAGACAATCTAAAAATCATTGCCCCTGAATTTGTAAATCCTGCCAACTGATGACCTTCAAGTAACATATGTTCATGAATCAATGTCAAGGCAAAGCATCGCTAAGAGAATGGGTCAACAGATCAACTTTCTGGTGAAATACCAATTAATGCTGTTAAGCTATTTCAGGTATGTACTATGTGGTACAGAATACATAAACATATGTTAAAATTCAATTCATGCTTTTAAACTTAACCAGCCAAAAAGCCACCTGGATGAGTTACATGACCCAGTGATAAGTTTGCCAGGATTTAATTATTAGGAAGTCAACACAGCTAGGGTAACATTTATCTACAAGGAGATGACTGAACCATAAGGAAAAAACACTAACTTTATCTTACCTGGACAGCTGGTGCTCTCGCGGTGTCCAGCGTTAAAAAATGAACATAGATTAGGCATGTAAAACCTAGCACTACCCAATTACTCTTCTAGAAAACAAGCAGCCAATTGTATCCCATTGACCCTATAAATACATATGGGGTTTGAAAGGTACCACATCTGGACTGCATAAAGTTCCATTCAGTTACAGTGAGAGTTAATTAAGGGTGTATGTGATTCAAAGATACATCATCCTGTGACCTGTCTGCATACAATTCTGTATGGTTACAGCGAGAGTTAATTTGACCATCTTTTTTTAAAACACAATTTTGTATTTGACAACCGATAGCAAGATATCTTCCCCTATAATAGGACAGGACCTAAAAGCATCAAGGGTAGGCCATTCAATAGACTCACTTTCTCTCATTAGAAGCACTGGACGAGCTGACTCGATCACATGCTAGGGACCCATCTTTCTAAGCTTGGCAGTGTCTCTTCTATAGAGATGGCAACAATGGAACCTCGACAACTTTTTCTTCTGCAAGTCTGAGACCTGCTTCTGTGATTACTCAAACTTTACAAGTCCCTATCTTGTCAACGTATCCTTAAAGTCTCCTCTATCTCCGATTTTGGTAGAAATAACCCACCTTGTCTTATATTCATCCACTACTTCAATAGCAATGGGTCAAAATAACCCTACCTGTGAAAGTGTGGAAGAATCATTTTCCAACAAAGCAATTTTCCTCTGTCTTTCTAATATCTTAGAACATATCTCTCCCTTGGCCTTCATCATCAGGTCGGAATACTCCTTAAGTTGCTTTGTTTCAGATTTAGCTGCAGTTTCATAGTATTGACTGAGAAACATACAAATTAAACTTCAAAAAACTATAATGAATGTTGTTACTTTACTTCAATATAAAAAAACAGATCATAGTTCAGCAGTTACCCAAACAGGATTTGATTCTAAATATTACTTAAAAAACCTATGTTCTACAATATGAAGATGTGATATTTATAAAAAAAATATATAGCGGTAACAAGAATAAGTGAAGATACTGCTATGCTTGTATCCCCTTTAAAAATCCAATGATGCAGAAGGTGCCTCATCGAGTAATCAGCTGCTTTTGTTGTCTGGTCCTATATTTGATGGAGTTCGAATTCCTGGTCTCTCCTTTGTTTCATTTCCTAGTGTCTACTTCAGGAGAGAAACAGAGGTAATTCTTTCCTGTTTTTAGAAGATGACTTCTTTTCAAGTACTTGGCTTTGTTACCAAGCTTCTCAATGATTTATGTAAATCTTTCTCTAGCCTTTTAGCTGATAACAAGTTTAACTTACGGAAATATCCAGATCCCATTTTAAAACCACCAACCCCAGATGCACAACATGAAAATCCAAACAACTCCATCTAACCAGCGAATACCAATTCCCGGTTTTGGATGAGTACGTGTATATATGGTAACTGTTACACTATATGAAGTCCACATAAGGTCTTCAGGAATGTAAATTTGAGGTTAGAATACAAGTTTCCAAATGATTTGGTAGGACAAAGAGGAAAAAAACCATTTCCATTTGGAAAGATAGGCTCCTTGGGAGTCGTGGCAGTTATAACGACATTACATCTGTCCAATAATGAGTTCAGGAGGGATAATAACAAAATCATGATAAGAGATTACACAAAACTACAATTATATCTACAGCAAACAGGTACACGTATGCATTTGACTATATTTGCAGAAGAAAATAGAAATTCAGAGACCTAATTCAATCTCTTTCTTCAGAGTCTGACTGGTAGTGATCTGCATTTGCTCTTCGACGCAAGTCTTCGCCGCCTGATCCTCCACGTCTTCAATTACATCATCATATAATTTTTTTACATACGACACCACATAATTCCTTACTAATCAACCAACATATAACAATTCAAGAAGATACAGAGAGAGAGATTCACCGTTCATGTGAGAGCGTAAGGTTTTCATATACTGTAGGTACTCTTCCATCTCGAGATCTTCAATAACAAGAAAAAATCAATATGTGATCTGATTCAGAATCAAGATCTACTTCAGCAGTCCAAATCTATCCATGAATTATGGAATATGACGTTACTTGAGTGATTTAGGGTTACAATGAAGGCTGAAGCGAGAGAATCACAGTGGAAGAATTCGAATCAGCGGGTTTATATACGGTAGAGGAATTCGAATCAGCGGGTTTATATACGGAATCAAGATCTACTTCAGCAGTCCAAATCTTTATTTTTTTAAAGTTTAAACTTTTTTTTTAAAATAAATCTTAATTTGAGTCTGGGATTACTTACGAAAACAACTTATTAATTTATATATACTATATTATAAAGCATTTGGTAAAAAAATTTAAAAACTATTTTTTATGCATGAAATACTGTTAATTAATGTATAGTACTTAAAATTTAAGATTACAAGTAAATTGTACGTAAATACGACTTGCTTCAATTTTAAATTCGTATAACCAACTGCAGATAAACATAATCAAATACAAGATAAACATCTCATTTTAAATATAAAAAATCTAACATATAATTAGGATAATCATTGAAAACATCATCTTTCTCAAACCACTTAAACTGTATTATATCAATAGAGACAAAATAAAACGAAACATAAAAATGAATATGTATCTCGTTGCATTGCACGAGTACCCTTCTAGTTTTATGTGTGACGTCGGTAATAAGCACTTTTAAGTGTTTGAATAAACAACTTATACCCATATCAAACCGGTAATAAGAAGTTTTTAAAAAAATTAAATCATTCTAACTTATAATAAGTTGATAAACATTTTTATATAAAAAACATATATTATTTTAAATAAGCAATACCAAACACCTCCTCGTATATAAAATTTGTGGATGAAAGAAGGGTTGCCAAAAAAAACTTGGTAAGTATCAACTCAAATAAGAGATATGATTAAAATAAGAATTCTTTATCATGTATTTAAAATATTGGGAAAAGTACAATAAAAACCAATGAACTTTCTTGTTTGGAATGATTAAGTCCTTGAACTTTTTTTTGGAACAAATAAGTCCTTGGACTTTCCAAAACATGTTAAATAAGTC